GGTGCTATACAAGTAGGGTGGGCACGCCGCATTTTTTGAACAGAAATGTATGTAAGTGGGACTGCTGCCCGCTACTATACTGTCACGAGAATCGGGGAATTCGTGAGCCAGGGGAGTGTAGCCAATCTAGGGGTGGGGGTGAGGGCAGTCACTTGACATGCGTGAAAAGCTGGGCGTGCCCACCCCACTTGTATAGCATCCGAAATTTCCCTAGAAACCATTAGGACTGGAGTCAAAAAATTTACTGAACCTGTTTTTGAGGTTTTCATTTTCCTCAAATTTTCGGAAGATGAGCCACAATGAGTATGTTGCTTCGCCGACCCTGGGACGGTAGTAAAGTGCCATAGACTGGGAGTTAAAGGTGGTGAACTACGGCCGTAAGCGGTGAATAATGAAAGGCGAGACAGCCAGATGACCCCGCTCTGAATGGCGAACTTCACTACATTCCTAGCAAAAGTCGCGTCGCCATGGACTTGAACCATGTAATGCAGCGCCCATGAGCGCGACGTTTGCCACTGCACCACAAAGCGTTGCAGGTATCATGGACAACTGATCCCGCGAGCGGTCCATTATTAACAAGGAACGAACCCACTGCGCTAATCGACGTGTGGGATCACGGCCTAGATAATCGTACAGGGGTGAAATGCTCCCAGGACCAAGGAAGGAGCTATAACACGATCAATAAGTGGAACACTGCAGGGGACAGCAGATCACCTTATTGGTAGAAAGTTATCAATATTATCGATAGCTCCAGTGGCTTTCTTGCTGCCCACACTCAACACCTTCCACGAACCCCTTTCTTCCCTGCGCTCTGCGCATGGCAGGGACAGAGACGCTCAATGCGACCAATGCATGACGTGCAGAGAAAGGGGAAAGTGCATGGGGATTGAAGAGACGCAGATAGACGTGACTAAAATGTACTCAGGGGTACATGTAAATGTACTCAGGTACATTTTAGTCGCCCTCTACATGACCCTCTGCGTCTCTGCAATCTCCACGCACTTTCCCCTTTCTCTGCCGAGGTTCGCCGTCTAGGCAAGGTGCCACCTAATACGGCCACTTAAGATGTTGCATAGACCTCGCCCATTGCGGCAGGTCAGCGCGAGTTTCCCGCCTTTCCCTATGCTTTTTAGGTGCGGACGAAGGCGAGGTCAACGTGACCTATTGGCCAACTATAGACTGGCTATTTAGGAGACTTTACTACCGTCCTAGGCAAAATGTGAACGTTCGACGATGTCCGCTGTGTGTGGGCGTGATCGGGATGATTCGATAAAACCCGTCTCACTTACTGCAGAGCTTACGTCTTACTCTAGAGCTCTCGTCGATAAAGTGCTAATTCTCTGGGCGCTTGACGGCCATCTCGCTTCGTAAGCCCCAAGTCACTAATCGTCGAGGGCAAGGTGCGACGCAATTCTCATAAGCCTCATTTCCCAGAAGAGGTGCAAAACATGTAGAAATCGTACCTCGTTCAACATGCAAAATAAGCTCATAGTGCCGTTTGGCAATGTGAAAGAATCGATGTGATTGTCCTTAAGTCGCTCTGATCATGTCACACTTTCAATGAAGGCCAGAAATCTGGTGCAATTCACAGTGACTCAACTGTATTGTTCTCCAGCTCTTTGATCAATGTACGCGCAACCGCCGTCCATCTGTACTACAATATTCTCGTAACCCTTGTGAAAAATTCCGATTTCGCCCTCATTTTGCTGCCCTTGCCACGCATCTCAGCCATCGCGACAAGCTGCTGCTGTCCTAATGTGGATGTAGAGGTGCTAGATGATGCTTATGTGAAGAAAAAAACAAGAGCACAGGTCAAGAACCCGAGAAAGAGGCCCCTTCTCGCTTCTCACCACCACTGTTTAGGCTAAAATTAGATTGTAAAAAATTAATCCTGTTGATAAACTTTTCGGAGTTTGCGCGTCTTTCTTGAGAAAGGAGTTCTCAACCTTGGAAGGACCTCTCCTGTTGTTTTTGGAAAAAAATACAAAGCAAGTATGATAAACTTCGGGATTTAAGATTTCAAGCAATACTAAAATCGGACTGAAAATTCGGATAAAAAACGGCCCTAGTGGAGAACTTTCTTGGGAGGGGGATCGCGCAGTTATTTTTTTGAAGAGATGGATTTGGAGTCTTGAATGGCCACAAGTCTCTAGGTAGTGCCTATGAAAACAGGTCAGTTATCTGAGAAACTACGGAATTCGCGATTCCTGAGCACTATTGAATCTTTATTCAGTGTTAAATCTTTTACGCCGGTTTCTCTTGTGAAATCTTCTTCTAAGCACCGTTAGGTGAATCCTTCCATGTATATCGTTACGCTCTCTCGCGCTACAGTCTGTTTCTGTATCATGAAGGTACCTCTGAAACATTTTTGTTCGCAATTTGTTATGAACATGTTTTCCTTGAACACCTGTCTTGGAATGCGCAGCGCACTAGTCTGTTATTGAGTTGTAGGCGCATATCCATACCTCCTTGCAATAAACGAGCCGGTACGATCCCAGTAGGGTTGTTCCATAAATCCAGGCTCATAACCTTGATTGATTCGAACTATTCACTCAACTTGCTCGTCATTCTCCTTGCGGTGAACTCGATGGAGATGACGCGCCCCACAAAAAAACGCCAAACAAATAGGCGATCGGCGCTTTTAAAGGCATGCGCGGGATAAGACTGGTGTTAAGAGCGCTTCGTAGTGATGACTGAGCTGCGGACGGCCTGAAAGTGGAAAGGAAAGCTAGAGAAATCTTTGGGATCGCTGAAATTAAGGCCTTAACCTTCAAAAAGGTCGGATGTGGAACGATGGCGAGGGCGGTCAAAGAAGACAAAACACGCGAGAGATCACGCCGTTCGAGAGAGCACGCCGATATCGAGGTGGGTGGGAAGCGTTGCAACGGGGGTCGATGGTTGCAGGCCCGTAAGGATTAGCGCCCTAACCGCGCAATTTTGCGACGAAGCTGGAGTGATCTAGGTAGGACCTTACAATTTCCTCGTGGTATCCTTCCCACAAGTCGGGCTAATCCCAGGGTTTGCCTTCCAGTGGCCTTTAGATCCGCACACATTGAGTATTGTACAGCGATAACTTCCCTTTCGGAGGAGTACAGTGCGCGTCAATTGTATATGCCACCCCTGAATTTTTTCAGTTTTCTGACTTATTTGGGAATTTCGTAAATCGGCATAGCAACCATCGTTTTCGGCGTGTCGGAAAACTGAGAATTGGTTTTATTTAACGCGTGGATTTGATTTGCTCTGTTCTTTTGAAGAAAATGGGCCGCGTCAAATGCTTATGCCATCCTAAATTTTCTTCAGAATTTCTCATGTCTCTAACGCTATTCAGCTACGGTGTGCATGTAATACAAATGAGGAAATCCTCCACTTATGCAATGCACACAAATGGTGGAGCATTATAACTAAATTAGTTCGGAATATTAGCCCTAATACTGGACGGTAGCAGCATGAAAACGCTTTATCAGAGAAAGTGCTGTGTGCTCACTCTTGCGATCGCTCCTGCTGCTTATTGTAGAACTCATCGAGGAGTGTATCCAGGCAAAACTGGGAAATTGAAGTGCTCAAGGAGCTCTTAAATTCTCATTTTCCCGCTTCGAATCCGTGGTCAACTTTATTTGTGGTCTCGGCTCCCTGCGAAGCTCGAAGCGTTCACGCTCACAAAGTCTCTGTTCAGAGAGAATATGAGTTGCACTCACAATCCGCGTAGTACCCATCGCCGAACTTTGTCGGATTCTCTCTGGAAAAATTTTCGTACCGAGCGAGCGAAAATGATGACATGGGCCAGTTGTAACTTGAACGGGACACCGAAGTGGTGGCATGGGCCATCATTGCATCGCCTTGATAAGAAAACTTCGATCGAGTTCAGTGATGGGTACCAGACGGATAGTAGGTGCAAGTCATGTTCTCTCTAAAAAGAGACTTTGTGAGCGTGAACGCTTCGAGCTTCGCAGGGAGCCAAGACCACAAATAAAGTTGACCACGGATTCGAAGCGGGAAAATGAGAATTTAAGAGTTCCTTGAGCACTTCAATTTCCCAGTTTTGCCTTGATACACTCCTCGATGAGTTCTACAATAAGCAGCAGGAGCGATCGCAAGAGTGAGCACACAGCACTTTCTCTGATAAAGCGTTTTCATGCTGCTACCGTCCAGTATTAGGGCTAATATTCCGAACTAATTAGTTATAAATGCTCCACCATTTGTGCATTGCATAAGTGGAGGATTTCCTCATTTGTACTGCATGCACACCGTAGCTGAATAGCGTTAGAGACATGAGAAATTCTGAAAAACTTTAGGATGGCATAAGCAATTGACGCGGCCCATTTTCTTCAAAAGAACAGAGCAATTCAAATCCACGCGTTAACCAAAATCAAACAACACCATTCCTTAGTTTTCCGACACGCCGAAAACGATGGTTGCTATGCCGATTTACGAAATTTCCAAATAAGTCAGAAAACTGAAAAAATCAGGGGGTGGCATATACAAATTGACGCGCACTGTATATATCGCGCGCTCGTCTCTCGGCCCTAAGCTTTACGACCCACCCTCCTTTAACGAAGCAATGACGACCCACCCCTCTCAGTTGGTTAATTACCCACATATGGTTGATCATGATGTGCTCCTTTGGCGCTTACAACTCCCTTTTGATGCGACGATTCCTGAAAGAATATAATTCGAATTCTTCCAAAGAAGTTGATTTTACGTGGCAGATTTCGACGCTCGGTTACTCCTGTTATTTAGTCGCCATTCTTCTCGCAACATTGACAGCAATCGTAGTCTATGCTGCCAGATTGTTGCTTTGACTAATTCCATTTTTGTATTCATTCTATAAGGGATTTCGTACTGTCACCCTTTACCAATAATCGAAATCTTTGATAGTCAAACATGCACGGACTGAGAGAAGTGGGTGTCACTCCGAGAAATCATAATCTTCAAGACGCTCGCTTGAACCTTCTACATATAATATATACCTTAATGCAAATGTAGACTGGAAAACCTTTCAGATGGGGCTCGTTGCCGTTGCGCTGGTCGTCGCTGCATTCACATGGATAATGAATTTCCTCTACAAAAAAGCGAAGTATATTCTTGACCGAATGTCGCTCTTTCAAGGACCGGTGGCTCTACCTTTCATCGGGAATCTTCACCAGTTTCACTTCACTCCCGAAGGTGAGTGGACTCACTGAGCTATGTGTTTACAATGAAGGAATTAAGATAAACCAGCTGAAGAAAAGCTGTTTTCATTGAACACTGTAAAAGCTTCTAGAAGCCAAAGGGGTGTTAAAGGCAGTGCTCGCGGTGACTGAGGCGATGCAGTTTTGGTGATCGCTGAACGTCGTTGGTGGGTCACTCTTCTAGAGGGACGTGGTTGAGACCGCCTCTTGACGCTCTTTCACTGATGATGTCATCGAAACCGCACCAGCCATTGTGGTCACTGCCCTTAAGGCGTCCCCACCGAATATGTCGAACAAATACTCAAGGTTCTTGACTCGGATAACAGTGTTTATTTTTTTGCAATAACAGTGACCATCGGCGCCAGAAATGTGACAGCGCTAGACTTCATGAGAAAAAATGAGAAAGCCGTCTAGAAAGCGGCTGCTTTTGTGGGGCATTTCCCCGTATGATCTAGACGAAATCGAATTTTTTAACTGAAGTATATAGAAAGAACAAATGCACGATAGAGATTTACCTAGGTGAAGTATGCATCCTTTTTTAGAATTTTTCGAGCAGGCTCAGGGATTAGCGTACATGCTGCGAAAGGACAAGGATCGAATCACAAGAGTGTGGTTTGGGCGTAAGTCACATCCACTCAATCTTCCTTGGTTTTCTTGGTTTATTTCTTTGTTCAGCGATGCCGCATGTTCTCATATATGGACCGGAGGAATGCGAAGCAGTTCTAGGCAGCAGCAAAATGTTGAATAAGACTATGCAGTACAGCTTTCTTTCGGCATGGATTGGTGAAGGATTGTTGATCAGGTACGTCCACGAGATCATTCCGCCAGATTTCAAATGAACCTATCCCACATAAAATTAGGTTACCATTTGCCAGTCGCGATCAAACAGTTTTTTTTTGAGCACCATAAAAGGCGATGTGCATACTTACCCTACATGAATAGCCCAAATTGAACTCTCTTTATCGCCTCTTTTGAAAAGTCGAGCCTGAGTCTTTGCAAAAAGAGCAAGTCATTTTTCACGATAGTCAGCATTCCAAGTAATATGACGTGCTTACTACTAGCGATATCTTCTTTCCATTGAGCGTGCTTCCCCATACACAGTACTTAAAGGAGGAATTCACGATTAGAATGAAGGTCGAAGAAAGGGAAACTGACCTAGTTGAGGGACCCACGGACCTCCTGAGGGTGCGAACTGACGCGCAATTCGCATGGAAAAATTTGACCTCGGCGACCTATCATGCCTCAAAGCTGGCGGGTCCGGCGATCTCCGCCCACCGATCATCTGATCACTCGCCGTAGTTCAATACGTGGCGAGGGTGAAATCGTGCTGAGTACGTGGTCGCAGAAGTACGACCCCCCCCCCCCCGAAATCGAGATCCTGGCACGACCCCCTATAACAGAGCAAATTAATTCAATTAATTAATCAAAATAAATCCTGCAAAACAAATCAAAAAAAATCTGCAAAATAATGTTATGGACGCTTCATCTTGTCATCTATGCACTGTCTTCATCGCAAGCTAAAAAAAAAAAAAAAAACACTTTGTGTATTTACTGAAATATCGACTCGAGGAAAGAGGCATTAACTTTGTGTGACCTCAAAGTCAGGTTCGTTCAGAAATGCACAGAAATCCTGAAGGCACGGGGTTGCGATTTAATCTTAATTCCTGCTTGAGTATATCGAAACAGCCGAGTGTATCAATCAACGGCCGATTCAACGGCAGCTGCGGCGCGATTGTCACTGGTTCTAGGTGAACCTGCAAAGAAAATTTAATATCATGTTTTTTCAGATATTTTCATTTTCTGCTGCGCTATACCCTCTTACCTATCTGCACCACGATACCACTGCTGTTACTGACCCCCAAGAGTACGACCCCCCATGGACCAGCCCGACAGGTACGACCCCCCTGTCGAGGATTTCCTCGACCGATATTCACCCTGCTCGGAACTTTAACGCGCAATGATGGAAATTTGACCTCGGCGACCTATCATGCCTCAAAGCTGGCGGGTCCGGCGATCTCCGCCCACCGATCATCTGATCACTCGCCGTAGTTCAATACGTGGCGAGTGATTAGATAGCTGAGAGAGCGTAGTGTTGAAGAGGGCACAGCGATGAGAGTCGCATCAATGCTCGAATCAACGGGCAAGGAAGGGGTACCATTTCTCGGGTTCTGGGCCGTTTCTCATGGTTCTTCCTTCTTTCGTGTACCACTCACCATCCCTAGGTTAATTTGAAATGGGTTGCTTTTTCATCGTGAATTCGTCCTTTAAAGCAACACTTCCCAGAAAGAAAATTCGCGGGTTGAAACGATGGATAATAAAGTTGTACGTGAAGAGTTGACCGATAATGAAAAAAAAAGCGTCGAAGAGGGCTTTAAACGGGGACTCTCCTTCTGCCCTTAGCAATGAAGGATGATGCGCATTGGACGAGTTGTATGAACTTGCCCGCAGTAGGTGCACTCCAATTGCAATTGCTGGAAAATAGCCAGCAATACTTAGCTATTTGCCAGTAATTGCAATTGGAGCGCATAATACTGAAATTATGACAGCGCCCTAAAAAGTATGATTCGGAAAATATCAATAAAAATGACTGTTGAACATGAGGAACGGAGGGGAGCAGCACTGAGTGACGCCTGTGATGGCTAACACAGTTACTGTGCCCAACGACCATGCGGACCACAAACCAGCGCATAATAAAATTAGTCCGTTGCGAGGTGATTTATACGCTTCGGTGTACAATGGGGTGTGCGCACAGATTAACGTCGTCGCCCAGAGCCAGATATAGTGCCACAAGACCAGCCTTATGAGACTCCAGCACCGTTGTCGCGTACTTTGGAGCCGCGACAACGGCACATCTGTGCTACATGTAGGCTACTCTATACCATTCAATGAATAGATTCTTCAGCACGACTTCTGCTGGAGTGGTTGCTTTAAATAATTTAGTGCCTTAAAAGCCATTCCAGTGCTGCTCTACTATGACGTTGTTGTAGTGTATATTTTTTTTATTATTTGTTTTGTTCTTTAATAGACGTTAAATCAAAATCAACAGTATATTGAAAAGAATGCAGTTTCGAACAGATTACAAAGTGGTTCACGACACAAACACGCGGTTTGACCTGCATTCGATACTATCAATTCACCATGTATCATTTCAGTAAGCCGGATAAATGGCGTCCACGGCGGAAACTTCTCACGCCCACATTTCACTATGAAATCCTGAAAGATTTCGTTGAGGTATAGCTCTTAATGACGCAATAATTTAGGTCTACAACCGACATGGTCGGACGCTATTGGGCAAGTTTTTGAAGCACGCCGATAGCGGAGAGTACGAGGACATCTTCCACACTGTCACCCTCTGCACCCTGGATGTGATTTGCGAAGCTGCGCTTGGCATCTGCCTCGACGTGCAGAAGAATCCTCATTCCCCGTATCTGGATTCAGTGTTCAAGTAATATCCTAAATTTTGCTGTTATGAGAGCTCTCCTTCAATGTTTTTAATTGTTAAGGATGAAAGTGATAATTCAAAAGAGATTAGTCAAACCGCAGTACTACCCGGAGTTTCTGTTCAACTTGATCGGAGCTGGAAGGGAACAAGCACGTTGCGTCAAGATTCTGCACGAATTCACGGGCAATGTGAGAATCCTTTTTCAATACGCAATTTTTCGATAGATTTTTTTTGTTACGAAGCTGCGTTGAACATTAGAAGAGTTGTGATATAGGCCTCAAAGGCAGTGATCGTGATGGCCGGAGGACGGTAGGGTTCGATGACGTTAATGATTATCGTCGATGAACTAGACCCCTCAGCGCGCTGAGTATAATGTTGGGACGGCTTCTTAACACCCTTCCTCTGACTGACATAAAGGCACAATCCAGGCCGAAGAGGCGTGAACGATTTCCTTCGCTCTGTAGGATAGAGCCCCAAGGTCACTCAGCACTCCCATGCGTAGTAACTATTCGACAAATGCGCCTGGGCCTTGCAAAGTGAATTGCAGGAGCTGCAATGATTGTAGGGTCTTGCCTGGCGCCCTCTCGATTCATACCCTTCCATCCGCATAGCCCTAGCACAGCCGCGTTGCGGAGGAGAACAAGCCCTTAACCTGAGCGTTTTCGTCAGATTCCTCTCTTTTTCTTTACTGCTAGTCCATTTTGCTACATTTTCGAATTCGTGTGCAAGAGTCATACCAGTTTGATAAAGACTCTACCTTAAAGGATAAAAGGATAAAGCATTTGCCGTTGATCAATCCCTTTTTGGGATGCGGCACGCATTCTACTTCCATTTGTACATTCGTAGTGGCGTTTGAATGCGATGTGGCCTATACAATGACTTGCGGGGGCCAGCCGATGTACAAGTCAGTGTTTTTATCCTCCCAGACAAGTCTGGTACCAATTAACCGACCCCGGAGGGATGGAAGGCTTGGTTGGCCCGGGCGACTCACGACCCAGGATTTGATCCCCGGACCGCTCGCGTGGTGAAGCGCGCCACTTGTCACTACACCACTTCCGCCCTCAAGTTATTCCAAGCTGATACAGTAGCAAAAAAATGACTGTCATCAAAAGGGAGCGTGCTGCCAACTTATTTCCATTTGAATGTTGTATGTTTTCTGAACGTAGCGAGTCGCTCTTATTTTACAGGTGATTCGAGCCCGAAAGGCAAAGGCTGACGCAGCAGGTGGTGTGGAGAAACTTCTTGCGCAAGAGTCAGCGGAAGGTACTGTAATACGGAGTCACAGCCACAATTTTCTACGGCTTTTGTAATTAGCATGATTATGCATGAGTGTGCGCTCGAAATATTCAAGTTTTCCTGTAGGACTTAGTGCTACACTATCATTAAAAGTGCAATTCACCACCGATTACTTCTTCGGTGAGGAACTCGTTCGAATTTCGTTT